TGGAAGACCCTGAGATCAAGTTCTGCGCCGGACTGTGTTAGAGGCTGGTGGGGTGCTTATTTGTGGGACTAGTTGTATATCCTACCGGGGCAGTACACACTGTATGACGGGCATTGGCTGAGTTTCTGCCTTGGTAAAGGAGCTCATTTGCCTCTTTATTAGTGGCATTTTAACTTCTAGTGGGCAGTTTTCTTTTATATTATCATACTGCTTTTTCTGTGCACCCAATTGCACTATTATTATTTTCTTTATTAGCCTGTTTCTGATCAAAGGTGGAAAGCCTTCTACTATGCTCAAGCGATACCAGTGCAGCAGACAGTCTATATGTGACCGCTTTAGTTCTGAAACCACTGTGCTGCATACTTTACTTCCATGTTGCCTTACTTTAAAATGATGGCTCTGTGTGTGATAGGATGTGTTCCCTCGTCTAGCTAAATGCACGTTTCTTTTGTGTAACCTTATTCGAGTTGCTGGATTGTCATGTGCATATTAATGAATGTTTGCATGTCTGTGTATTCATGTCACCACTGTAATACGCAGTTATTTTCAACTATATGCCTCAATAAAAAATGTAATTGACAAAAATAAAAATAAATGAGACTTGCCATTGTAATTGCAGTCAGATTTCAGTCGATTTCACTGGATTTTCTCCAACCCTGCCAACGTGAAAACAGCCGAACTGGAAGAAATTCTCTAAGTCCGTTATGCTTTCAGTTCAGCTACTTTAGCCTGAAATGTGAAATTCACTTTAATTTCTAATAACTCTATTTGACACTACAAATATGTGACTAAAATTTAATTTTGTTTCTCATATTTTGTTCCTTGATTTTCTAGCTTCAAGCAAAGAATCGTCAAAATCTGAAAACATATGTCAATGACCTAATACTCTATTTTATCCACCTATACAAAAACCAACGTCCTGGGCTCCCTCTCATTTTAATATGTTCTCTTATCTCCTTTCCCAATGATTCCATTTTTAATCCAGCCCCCCATGTATCTAAAAGTAAGAAAAATAAAAAGCAGGTGGGATCATCAATTTCTTCGTCATAGCTGAGCACCCATTACTCCTTGCCATGCATACGTTAGCAGGGGAATAACATTTTTGCCAGAACCCAGTCACTAAACTGTTTGCAAAAACAATAACACTAACATTTTCTAAATACACTTGCACAGGAAAGTAGTTATATAAAAACACTAAGGAGTGAAATGCATTTGCTTCCATTAAGGTTGGTGATCCTTGCACTACAGCGCAAGCCTGAGTAGGAAATGTATATTTATTGACATTGAAATCCATTTACGTTTTTTTTTGTTTTTTTTACATACCGTAGAAACAATTTGTACCACATTCCACTCTAGTGATGATGTCAGGAAATGCAGCTGCTATTCCTTTTCTCTTGAATGCTGCAGGTGCTTCCCTTATAGAAAACTAATAGCTGCCATTACCTCTCTTATGAGCAATACTCATCCGCACATTAAGTGTATTGGAATGGAACCAAGCAATTATGCTGGCTGATGAATTTCTGCAAATGAAGAAAAACAGAAATATATTCTAAGAATTATAAACAGAAAATACAAAACGCAGTTCTCACAAATGGCTGTATATTTTATTCCTTTTCCCATAAAAAAAAAAAATTAATACATTTTTATACGGCTTGGTGTGATGTCTCCCTGCAGACACACATCTTTGCATCAGTGACATACACTACCAGGTATCTTAAATAAGTAGACATCCCACTTTGGGGGCCATTTCCCTGGATTTTTTATATAATTTTTTTCTAACTCCTATATTTAACAAATAAATATATGCAAAGCCTTAAAAATAAAATTAAAGGTATTATAACCCACGCCTATTTACCCTGCACTGGGACCCTTCATCTTAGCATCCTGTCAACCCTTGTTATAAGCTCTGTCCTTTGCAGTCATTATAGAGAAAGCATACAAAGAATAGGAGAAATGAAGCAATGTTTGTATTGTTCGTGATTGTGTGCCTTGACTATGCCTGGAATGAACTGGGCTGTGGTGTCATTTGCAAAGTTATATACATTTGATATTAACCTTTTTTCCACTCCATTTATTTTTAAATGTAAACACGTTATAGGTGATTTTTAATGTTTTTTTTTTTTTTAATGTTGTTGTTTTCAGAGATCATTTTAATGTTTTGGGTTTTTTTTTATTTACCATTTGATTTATGTATTATACGTAACACTTTGAAGTTGCAAAATGGTTCATTAAACAAAAAATACAGATATTTGTGTTAAAGTGAAATGCTAACTGATACAGCTTATTATGCCAATATCTGTTGATATAAATATAATTGTCAGTGTGTAGGTGTGATAAAGAACTGTTATGTTTAATGTACCCAGTTTGTCTTAGATGGGTACCGTATACTGTAATCAGGTGAAGATTTACATGTTAGGTTCCTGCAAGCACAGAATTTTAAGGCCCCTCTTGAATCCCTAAATTTGGGACTAATGTTTAGTTTTTTTTGGAGGGGATAAACTTTGCGTTAAAGCAATAGGGACGTTGGAGTACGTTTTGTGGAGTTATTTGCAAAGTACTCCCCCTCTTATTATGAGTGATACTAGAAATATTATACAGTGTGCATCACTCAATGTTGTCTTTCCTCCTGCAAGGAATTTTCTGTTTGAGAGGCTGTTAGTCAGCAGATGGGAAGTTATCACTTTCTTTTCCTGTTCAGACTCACACAGACACTGGATGAGTCTGGACATGGCTGAGTTTACACCCTTTATACCTGCTCCAGCAGCTCTACTATCAAACATAAGAAGTTGACTGGACTACAGAGGATACTGGCCAAGGCTATTGGAACTAAACTCCTCTCACCAGACCAACTAAGCTCAAAAAAGGCACATTATGAGTGCTTTAAATAGACACCACATACAAGACAGACTCCTACTCTGCCTAATGGGAAATCCGCCTCAACTGGAATTTATTGCAGTTTGTGTTAATAAAAAAAAATAAAAAAATGTTGCTGCCATAAGTCTTCACCACATTTGCTTGGAAATGCCTAAATAAATTCTGTTGCTCCCAAATGCTTTCCAAAGTCACAATGATTAGTTGAGTGGCGTCCACTGGTGTACAATTAAAGCGTCACATAATCTCAAACCAAATACAAAATTCCTGGAACGTTCCAAAGGTTTTAATGAGGGGTATTAATGAAACAATAGAAACGTGCCTATTGTTTGTGATGACACCCATCCATAGCTGGTAATAGAAGGATCATCAATGATAGCACTGGCCCCAGGGACCTCAATATATATAAGGCAAGAAGATGCTAGAAAATGCTAACTTTTGCACACAATGGGCATTCAGTATTATCAAAGCAGATTATTTTACAAGTACATTGACTGAAAGTCTTTTCACATGTTATTTGCCAGATCAGTCATATTCAAAATAAACTGGGGGAAAAATTGATCGCAATACGTTTTGCGAAGGATTCCCTCCATAGTTATATGAGAAAATTACATGCAATAAATTGCAGCCAAGTAATTATTTAATAAATAAACATTTTTTTTGATGGCAATAGCATAGTAAAGTAGAGCAAAGCAGATTACATTTTTTTTAACATCAGCTGTTTTATTTCAAATTCCCTATCACATAGTGTAGGATATAAAAGAAAGTATCCAATCTGTTGTGAGACCCCTGACATCATGACCTTTATTAACACCTGGAAAATATGGGCAAACACATTTCAAGAACCTTTCATTTCTATTTCTGTTTCTAACCTTTGCCCTAGCCTTAAGCAAATGAGAAGCTCTAAACCTAAAAATATAAGGACACTTTCAGTTATTTGAGTTCCTAGATCTAGCACTGAAAATGTCAGATTCTTAATCATTATCTCTCTGCCTCCTGTTTTATGCTGATTTGATATTCTTATTTTATGGTCCAAAATAATGATCTGATCGTACTATCAGAAATGAAAATGTGGATGACACATAGTTTTATTGATGGCACCTATTTTAAATTGATTTAATTTAACATTTAAATTGATTCCAATCTGACAATTTAAACTATTACATTATTTAGCTACTTGTATAAACTAAATATGTTGCATATCTCTCTCTAGTAAAACTGCAAATGCATGTGTCACCTTGGACTTTTTCCAAAAAAGGTTGGGAACTAGTTCACTATATTATAAACTTTTTAAAGTAGCAATTTGCTTTTATTGCTTAAATGCTTTTTAACAGCATGTCTGCTGTTGCATATCCCATGAATTTGCAAGCACTGTGGAATATGTTAACGCTTTACCGATGATATTAATATTTTATTTTTATTAGTAATAATAAAAATATTATTATTAGTAATAGCATTTACATAACACCAACATTTCCTGCAGTGCTTACACTTATAGAATAGGAATATCTGACAGCAAGTAATTTACATATCAAGAGACACAAAGTGAGTATGGCCCTGTTCAAATGATTGTACAATAATGAATTGCATCCCATCACAAACACATCATGATCTTAAAGACGATGAGTATATGTATTGATAAAAAGTAAAGGGAGACCCTCCAAACTGACTGTAATTCATAAAACAAATTGAATGGCAAGGATTTTTTTTTTTTTTTTTAATGAGAAACTATTTTAACATATAAAATACAGAGAATCCACAAAAGAAAACCGGTAAACGATCTCTGCTATCTTTACTTTCCTTTTTCACCTGCTGTTTTACATTTCCTTTTTTTAAAAATACATTTTCTATTAAAGGGCACTGTCACCGGCCACCTGAAAAATTAGTATTTCATAAAGATAGAATTTGGACTGTGTAGGAATTTCACATAAATTCCAACCAAGCCAAGAGCTATCCAGAGACAAAGTAGGGACTACTGTATATTTCCTCTGCTTGACTTTCTTTGACTCTGGGCGAAGCTACAGAGTCAATACCAGTGACAGCTGCAGGGAACTGGCTGCATCTATGGAGGATCCCACGGTTTTGAGGGATTCTCCATAGACCTCAATGCTGTAAGAGCAAAAAACAAGTCGCAAGAGAATACTGAGAACGGGCAGCAGCTGAAATAGCCTGCCCTTTGTAGTGTAGGGCAGGCTATTTCAGCTGCTGCCCGTTCTCAGTATTCCCTTGCAACCTGTTTTTTGCTCTCCATAAGTTTAAAGGGTAATCCAGACATGGACCCCTTGCACCCACGGTGCCTAGAGATATATCAGCTATGCCTCACAAGGCTGAAACGATCGTCTAGGGTTGCTGTGTCTCTCGTGCAAAGAGAACTTGCTGGCATTTCGGATCTGGACTGCCAATATGGGTGGGACCAGTCTGATATGTTTCAGAGATGTTCTCTCTGTAATGACACAAGATGGGCTAAAACCAGCTTGCGATCTGAGCGGGGACCCACCAAAGGGCTGGCTATTTCAGCTGCTGCCCCGTTCTAAGTATTTTCTTGCGCCCCGTTTTTTACTCTCATCAATGCTGTAAGTACAGCAGTGATGTCAGTTGAAGAGGAGCAGACTGAGGATGATGGTGGCTCCCGCGAGGGACTGGTTCAGGTAAATAAATCTCACCTTTACCTGCCCCATCCGGCTGCTAGTCCCCCACCGGCGACGTCACCGTGTCCGCATTATCCCCAGACGGACCGTGAAAAGAAAATGAAATAACTCTAAGGCAATGAAATCAGCAACAAAACTTGAAAAGGAATTCGGAATCAATACATTAATTCACTCATGTTCATTAAATTACTAAGTATGGTTTTTGAGAAACCAAAAGATGTGTGCATCTTAATTGCTTACCATATTTATTGTTACTGATTAATAGAATAATCAGGCATTTCCATATTCATTATTTTAATTTTTACAACATCTCTCCAACTGCAGTGTGCACTGGCACGGATTTTACACCCCAATGATCATTCTATGCAAATGAACAAATACATAGCCTTCCGCCTGAGGCTTATCATCATATGATTACAGATTAATAAGGTACTTCACACATTTTATTTCTGAGCATTGAAATAATATCTTCATGGGAAGAAACCCTTTAAAGTGACATCATGATAAAAAGATTTTGTCTGAACGTTTAATTACTGTGTTACACATAGAGGAGTAATGTGGTGGTGTAAAATGGAATTGCTTGTTTTTTTTCTTTTTTTTTTTAACATTTGAATTGTCTCTCTCTTAAAGTGACAGTTCTAACTTTTATAAAATAAAACATACAGTATCAAAATGTGCAAAAGAAAGTAAGGGTTAATATTAGATGAAATGTAATAGGTATCCAGGAGTTGGTTGTGGTATACACCTTTAAATTAAAAACCGTGTAAAATCTCGATCTTAATCCCTTGTGGTCCAGTGAATGGGCTGTGCAGGGGGGGGGAAGGGGAGGAGGCTGGCAGGAAGCATTTACTTACCTTTCCTGCAGCTCCTGTCAGCTCCCAGTGTAAGTCTCCCGGTCTGCGTGCTGCGCAAAGCGTTGCCACGGTAACCCGTGGCAACACTCTGACGGCCGCGGGTCTCGCGAGACTTACACTGGGAGCTGACAGGGGAGCTGCAGTAATGAGCCCGGCAGTCCTGGTCTGTATTATGGCAATGTAAGTTGCCATAATACAGACAGTGACTCGAGTATAAGTCGAGTGGGGCTTTTTCAGCACAAAACATGTGCTGAAAAACTCGACTTATACTCAAATATATACGGTAATTAAGATTGTCTTATCCCCTGCCAGTGGCGTACATACCAGGGTCGCCGGCCGCCCCTGCGACCCGGTATGTACCCACAGGGCCAGCCTCTTCTCCTGGGGGGGCCCAGGAGGCGGCCACCTCAGGGCCCCCCCGAGGCTGGCCCTGCTGTCACCCGGGCAGGCAGGCGGGAGGGAGCACTCTCTCCTGAGTGCTTCCTCTTCAGCTCCCTCGCACGCCACATAGGGATGCCGGAGCCGGAAGATGACGTCATCTTCCGGCTCCGGCATCCCTATGCGGCGCGCGAGGGAGCTGAAGAGGAAGCACTCAGAGCAGAGTGCTCCCTCGTGCGCCGGCCACCCAGGAGCCCAGCAGCACCACCACTGGACCCCAGGAAATCCCCCCAGCACTCCAAAAGGTAAGGAGGCTGGGGGATTCAATTAAAAAACAAATGTGTTAGTGTGTGTGTGTGTGTGTTAGTGTGTGTGTGTGTGTTAGTGTGTGTGTGTGTTAGTGTGTTTGTGTGTGTGTGTGTGTGTTAGTGTGTGTGTGTTTGTGTGTTAGTGTGTGTGTGTGTTAGTGTGTGTGTTTGTGTTAGTGTGTGTTAGTGTGTGTGTCAGTGAGTGTGTCTGTTATTGGGTGTGTGTCTGCTAGTGAATGTGTTACTGTGTGTGTCTGTTACTGAGTGTGTTTGATGTCTGTTAGTGAGTGTGTGTTTGTCAGTGAAAGTGTATGTTTTGTAAGTGAGTGTGTATGTATGTCTGTCGCTGAGTGTGTCTCTGTCAGTAAATGTGTGTGTCTGTTAGCTAGTGTGTATGCGTCTGTTCGTGAGAGTGTGTGTGTGTGTCTTCAGCATTTACCTTTCTCCAGCGTCGGACTCCCTTGGCGCTGTGGATCCCTCCACCTCTCAGCTCCGAATGCACATGCGCGGCAAGAGGCGCGCGCGCGCATTTGAACCGCCCATAGGAAAGCATTACTTAATGCTTTCCTATGGACGTTCAGTGTCTTCTCACTGTGATTTTCACAGTGAGAATCGCGGAAGCTCCTCTAGCAGCTGTCAATGAGACAGCCACCAGAGGCTGGATTAACCCTCAGTGAAACATAGCCGCTTCTCTGAAACGGCTATGTTTTCAGCTGCAGGGTTAAAACTAGAGGGACCTGGCACCCAGACCACTTCATTGAGCTGATGTGATCTGGGTGTCTGTAGTGGTCCTTTAAGTATGTGTGCATACCGCGGTCGCGGGGTCGCAGCCCTGCAACCCCTGCGACCAGGTGCCTGCCGCCATGTGTTGCGGCCCCAACCTGCGCCGATTAAGCGCGGGGGGGGGGCACGGATCAATTTTCGCACCAGGGCCCCATGGGTCATGTGTACGCCACTGTCCCCTGCTATGTTAATAGCTTGCTAGACCCTGCAAGAGCCTCCTGTATGTGATTAAAGTTCAGTTTAGAGATTGAGATCCAATTATTTAAGCTAAATTACATCTGGTTGAAAGCGAAACAAGTTTTTTTGTTTTTTTTTTTCATGCAGGCTCTGTCAATCATAGCAGGGGAGGTGTGGCTAGGGCTGCATAACCAGAAACAACGTGATTTAACTCCTAAATGACAGTGAATTGAGTAGTGAAATTGCAGGGGAATGATCTATACACTAAAGTTGCTTTATTTAGCTAAAGTAATTTAGGTGACTATAGTGTTCCTTTAAAATTGCACTCACAATTTGCAAATCCCTTTGAGCGTTACTGGAGTCAGATAGTTTGATGGGGCAGTTTGAACGGTCCTGCAGTCCAGTGGACAGATGTATTGACTGGAGGTTTTTTATTCTTTTATGAAGGGTACTATCATTATTATTATTAATCTGACAAGATATTCCACTAATGTTGTACTATAATAACTAAGCTTTGGTCATCTCGACAATAATGCCGTACTCGCACGGTTTTATTTAAATTACAGTCAGGCATAGATAAACAAACAAAACAAACTAAATAAAATACAAAAATAAGAAGCCAATCCATAGCTTAATTTTACATCCCAGTAGCCGGCTTAAAATCATAACAAGAATTTTTACAGTTTATAGCAATATAAAACCAATACAAAGTCTACCAAATGAGATCCAGTTAAGGTGGTTATTGTGATAACAACTTTGTGATTACCCTATGTCACACCAAAATACATTTATTAAAATAATATATCACATATCATTAAAAATGTACTGTTACTTAAAAAAAAAAATCAATATATTTGTGACATTAAATGAAAAAATACATTTGGTTTATTTTTATATATTTACATCACAAAATACGTAGTTATTATACACTATGAAGTCACCTCCAATATAAATAATTAAATGGATTCTACATACAACTAAAGTAAACTATACACTGTTTCCTTCGGTGGTTACTTGAGTACAATTTTGTAACTGAAAAGTCTTATGACATGCGCATTGTCATGCCCTAAGCATATTCCTAATAAACCCACCATCAGACCACCGCCCCAATAAACATGGACACCAATATTTCTTGGAAAAATATCACAGATTTTATTATAAATGTTCACACATAATTGTAAAAAGAAGGGGGTCAGAGTCAAACACACCTAAAGACATTGAAGCCCAATACTTTTCCAATGTAAACATATAGACAATGACCCCCACATAAATGACAGCAATCTTAACACAACATCTATCATACAACACACCAGTTACCACAGCCACCAAGGTCATCTTATTCACAGCAAGCAAGGGCATCGTTAACCACTTGTAGAGGTATACCGAGATACCGCTATACACCCAGGCTCAGAGCTACCGACGAGCTCGAACCTACCAAACAAATGCAAACATAACTATTGCTTCTGAACTTGAACTTCCCCACCTTACTAAGCCAACGTTCCCAGATTATCCTACCCATGCCCGCCACAGCAAAGAGCTTGACTCCTCAAGCTACCTGAGCGCCCCCACCTGCCTACAAAGAGCCTGTCTTAGTCCTTCCTGAAAACACAAGTTCAAGAAGTCCGTACCCACCTAAGAAAGACGCACTCCATCATATGGGTAATAGTTGGGAAGCAGGTCTTCTAATTCATTGTGCCAAATCACAACACTCCCTAATCTCTTAACGTAGACCGCCATTGACTGATTGATCTTACTGCGACTTTTAGCTATAGCCGCAGAGATTCTAGCAAAACACCAATGTATACGTGGTACCATTTCCGATCACACAATTACACCTGGGACCATACTTCTCACCCTATCTACATCCCTCTTTATCGTCCAGATCAATTCCCTTTGGGTTACAAGACCCACGTCATTACCTCTGTCATGGATTAAATTAAAATCTGGAACAATGCCCTGCCCTAACCTCCTAAACAATTTGATGCAGATGTCACCCCAACCAAACCCACGTTAACCAAACTAATGTAATTCAAGTACATCATGCCAAAAAACCCAGCTTTCTGCCTTTTGGTCGAACTGCAGC